CAGTGGACTACAGTTATTGTTAGTGACCAGGTATCTCAGTGGACTACAGTTATTGTTAGTGACCAGGTATCTCAGTGGACTATAGTTAGTGTTTGTTACCAGGTATCTCAGTGATCTATAGTTATTGTTAGTGACCAGCTATCTCAGTGGTCTATAGTTATTGTTAGTGACCAGGGATCTCAGTGGTATATAGTTAGTGTTTGTGACCAGGGATCTCAGTGGTCTATAGTTAGTGGTTGTGATCAGGTATCTCAGTGATATATAGTTAGTGTTTGTGACCAGTTATCTCAGTGGTCTATAGTTATTGTTAGTGACCAGGTATCTCAGTGGTCTATAGTTAGTGTTTGTGACCAGGTATCTCAGTAACCCATATTTAATGTTTATGACCAGGCTCTCAGTTATTGAAAGTTATTGTCTAATCAAGGCCACTTGGGCCAAATGTGTTTAATACATATAAATGACCTACTTTCTAATAAACAAGCCGAAGGTTGATGTTATTTCACCACCAGTAGCACGCAAGGATAAAAAGTTACGAAGAAAAGCTATGCTCAAATGAATGATCCTCATTGAATGTCAGGGAGGTCAAATGTTTTATAGAACCTTAAAAAGGCTTCTGAATAACCAAAGGGCCTAAGGTAGTGATATTATACCAGTATCATGTTTGGGTGAAAGGTTTAAAGTCTGTTAAAACATAAATCATTCATCCTTATTTAATTTCATTTGGTGAAGTGTTTAAAACATCTTTTTGTAAATGGCAAAAAATAGGGTGATGAGTTTTGGTCAGTAGCATGCTGAGATGAATGGCTATCAAACATAATCAAATGAAAAATACTTAATGTCATATGGGTCAAACATGTTTAAACACTCCTAAATGACTAAGAGGCCGAGGGTGATGATATTTGATAGGAAGCATTCTGGGATAAAAGGCTACAAAGTGGCATTACGAACTGGCATTAGACATTTAAACGACTTTTTATCAGTAGGCAACTTAAAGTCAAATTGTTATTCTATATTACCAGTAGCATACTACTAGGAAGGGGCTTTTAAGTATGTTCAAGTAAATGACCATTACCAACTTTCAATATCTCGGAGGTTACCTAAACAATTTCTACTACTTCTGAAAAGCCAAGTAGACCAGGGCAACGATGTTTTGCGTTTGCAAGCAAATATTAAGTTATCAAATACTACGTCGACGGACACAACTTTATCCCTATCGTGCAGAAAGTGTGGTTGATCATTGTGGTTAAAAGAAAAAGTTTTTGCTTGAGCTGGACCAGAGTGGTACGTGAACGTAGAAGAAGATGAAGTTTGACATTATGATCAGCGTATTTACATGTACATCGAGTCATTCTCTTGAAGAAGAAAAAAAGAGAAAAGGGAAAGTAGCATCTTACATGTTTTGCAACAATGAAACATCTCGAATTCGTATGGTTCAAAAATTATCAATGATTACTAATCCAACCTTTGAAAATATCCGTGAAAAAAACCGGTGGAGTGTTGTCCTGTACGTCAAATAAAATGTAAGGTAAGATTCCAAACGTTGAAAAGTGATCAATTTTCCAAATTCATAAAATCTACTCCATAGACAGACAGACAGACAGACAGACAGACAGACAGACAGACATTCTTTATTTCCTCCTTTAGGAGATTTCATATGTCAAAACAGTTTTACAAAATGTGTCTTAATTTATATATAAACATCGTTTTGAGAAGTAAATGTATTAAATAATGACGCATTTGACATTCATATAACAGCATTATATAATTCATGATACAAAATGTTCACTACAATATATATTCCTCATACATCTTTTACATATATACGTTTACACTTATATATACATCAATAGGTTAATTATAGAAAACTCTCCATCTCACATACCATTCCTTTGATATTTCCAGCCATATTTATCATTAGTGTTTCCCACTCTATATCAGTCAAGTATACATGTGAATGATCGCCAAGTAAAAAGCTGCACTGGTCTTCAATGCTTAGTTCTGAAAACTGTACATATGACAATACTTCTATAGCATTTACAACACCATCCATCATTTTATCACGGCTTAAGTATAAACCTGGACATTCTAATATAAAATGCAACACAATATCTTTACTTGTTTTCTCACATATCTTACATATAACCAATTCATTCTCACAAGATATTGAGTATTTAAATAACTCTACTAGATCCCATACATGTTGTTGAGAAATTTGTTTAGTGCTTAGTTGCAATATTGGATTTATTCCCGGATCACTATGGATAGCAGCATATCTCTTATGTTCATCACGTGTATTTAGTTTATCTGTCCACCTTATATAATAAAAATCATATATAAATCTATTAATGAAACGTTTCCAGCATAACATCGGTGGTACGAATATATTTAGAACATAGTCATTGATAAATGACTCTATATTAAATTTAACCATTATGTTATATATATCAGGCAGAAATCCTATTTGAGTAGTTGATGAACTACCATACATACTACCATACCATCCATAAGAATATCTTGCAAATTGTCCTGTTAATATCAATCCGAGATATTCAATAGTATGAAATTTGCAGCAATTACACAACATTTAACCCATCGAGGTAATGTTGGCGACATAATTATCTCGATTTGATTTCACCGATGACAGTAATATGCCATCATATTTTGCTTTAGTAAACGAGAGAACACCATCAACACGATACAAAAAGCAGTGAAGGGCTTCATGGCTTCTAAGACAAAATCCGAAAAAAACTCATTGTAACTCTTCTTCGTTGGAGATACAATCAAGAACGCCGGAACTATCTACCGTCCCTAACATGATTTAAACTCCTTGCCATTGTACGAACTATACTGTAAAGGGTTTGTTCTCCTTTCTCCCACTTTTTTCTGATCAAAGGAATTATATAAACACTGGAAAACAATAGATGTGTCATTATAGTCTGTTCTGGTATAGTACAGGTAGATTATTTACCTGTTCACCAAGAGGAAATACTGTGTTAGTTATAGGAATATTTAACAAATATATTTCCTGATTTTCGTAATATTTACTGGAATTATAAATAAATATATACAAGATTCCAGTTATTACTTAATAAAAACACACTAAAATACATTAACTGAAATCCTGCTTTTATTAATTTCATATTAAATCAATTTTACACATTTTTACTATACATGTATGTTATATATATATTTCATAAAATAGAACTAAATTAAGCAAGCAATTTATGACAAATATAATCAGTAAAGACAGAGATCATGTTTATGCAAAAAAATAGATGCAACGCTGGGAATGAAAATGAATAAAACAAATTAATTACATGTACACATGGAATACTTAGCACTGGTTGATCAAAACACTCATATTCATAAATTGCACACATGCACAAAGATAAAAAAAACTAATATAATAGCACTAACTCATAAATTGCACACATGCACAAAGATAAAAAAAACCACTAATATAATAGCACTAACTCATAAATTGCACAAGATACAAAACTAATATAATAGCACTAACTTACTAAAGGTGAAATATTGGAAAGTCCATAAAAAGCACAGATAATGAAAAGTCCCTAATTTTAAGAAATCCTGGCAAAGCACCAAATAAAAATTCCATATCAAGCATCACAATGTCACTCTAAATGCAAAAGATGGGATGCTGTGTCGGCGTACTGGATAACATCTGTTGCAGAGGTCTATCAGATTGTCGGATGTCGCGAAGGCCATAATCCTGGATTGGTCACCATCGTCAAGTAGTAGGAATTCCTCTCCGGCAGTTGTCTGGGTCCACTTTCCCTCTAGGTATATGTCCTTAATGGTCCTTGGTAGCTGAGGAGTCTGAGTACGTCGAGCGTTATACAGTAACTTCTTAATGGACTTGAAGGTGGGTAGTTGTCTGACTGTGTTCTCTGCGTCGTCGTTCCAATCATCGGATCGAAGCTTGGTTACCTCCTCATCGTAGATTCTGGGTTTTGGTTTTACTTCCTTCACGCAGCGGGTACGAATGGTCTCCATAATCTCCTGGGCGGCGATCTTAGCATGGTCCTGAGGGTGGTTGTGGGGATGGCGGCCGTTTCCAGTAGGGATGTTGTTTCGGGTACTAAGGGTAGCTGGACAGTTGGGGATGGTACATCTTCAATATACACGCTCACCTCTGTTGTTCTTAACACGGTAAATGTATCCGTTGTATGCGATGTTCTGTCTTCCAAACTTGCTGCGAGAAAACGTCACTTGAATTTGTGCATTTGCCATGTTGGTGGTTGATGGGGAATGTGTGTGACCTCACCCTCCACTTCATTATATACTTACAAAACATACAGCTTGGACAATCCCACTTGTTTAATCACCACAGCATCAATTAATCTATTAATGATAATTAATCACTTTGCAAACGGTCAGCTTATATGTCCCTTTATAAGTTCATATATACTTGTACAATTAATTGTTGACTCAATGCTCACCAGTAAAGTGGTCAGTTGATTGACCCAAGCCATCAGTTGTTAAGATTCATTTTTATCAACTATAAATATTAGTGGACCCAAGCCATATGGGGTTATCAAATAGAACCATAACTAATGATTATGTTTTAGGGGAAAATAATCTAATGAGTGCTACTAAGTTATAAATAATCACAATGAAGACGCATTTATTGGTAAAAAAGATTCTCTGACAATAATGCTCCAATATGAATTTGCTTCACCCTACATTAAATCAATTTAAATTTAAAATTCAAAATTCAAAATTTAAATTAATCAAATCATTATCATCTATATATATATACTTTTAAGTATATAAAATATTTGTTACTGTTTTGTATGTTTGTATAGATGAAAATGGTATATGATATGAAAAAAATGGCTTACAATTATGAAAATAGGCTATATCAAATATGATACAGGTAATGTGGGAGAACACAGGTAAATACCAGGTAAAATATATATGAAACAGACTATAACTGCTATCACAACATTACTGCCTCTATGGGTTTTTTAAAAAGTGGGAGAAAGGAGAACACACCCTGTAAAGTGTGTATACAGGGTATGGTGCAGTATGAGATCATTGTAAATCGGTAACGGAGACGACACAGGTATATTTGACGTTTGAGCTCTTAACCAAAGGAATCCGTAATGTCTGCCTTGTGTTCTACTTTGGGAGTGTGTTTTCGACGTGCAGGGATGCAAACGAATGTAAGAAAGCAGGTTTGGGTATGCGTGTGTTTATTTGATTTGGATAGCATAGCTTACAAGTTCAAGTAACTACATTATTACAAAGTATTTATATTTGGGCCTCAGCTTTATGTATACGACGTTAATATTTTTGTACGCACTCTCTGTTGATATATATCGTATACATTAATAAGATAGTATACATTAATAAGATAGTATACATTAATAAATAATAGATGTTAAAGGCAGGATTAACTTCAGTGCGTATAAAAGCCAGAATGATATAAATATATATATAAATATTTTTACCAAATGTGCAAACATTCCATATTTAAATAACGTAAATATATAAATAGGATCTTACATGAGTTTCCATTTCATATGAGATATTTGAAACGAGTCTAAGAATGTTTCAATTTAGCGAGCCTCTGTGAAATGAAAACGAGTGTAAGATCCTTTTTATCACATAATCAGGATGTGTGGCATTTATTCGTGTAAAACGACAATTTTCATGCAACATTGAAATGTAAAACCCCGCCATTTTGACTTCAGTGCGTAAGTATGTGACGTCATGTACATGTAATTGTTCTAGGCGTGACGTCACAATTGAAACAATTCTGGATAACACAGTACATTATGTGTTAAATGAATCTAAATATATATAATTACTTATAATTTACAAATTGTGATTTAATATTGTTTATGTTGAAAATCAAAATACTACATTGTATCTGCTTTTACAAACTAATTGATTTAATCAAGTTCAATTTTTTTATATCGACAAGTTGAACAAGTGGAATTCCTACCATATACTTGTATGATACGATGGAATTTATATATTAATAAACAAATAAGTATTTGTGAACGGTATTATTTCACATATCTTTACATGTACTTTAAAATCTTAAAAAGCATGATTTTGAAAATGCCTTGTAATAGAATTACAAGAGAGAAAGAACACTATAAATTAAAAATTATAACTTACTTGCAGCTTGTATATAATTGCACAGTCCTTTGACACACACACTTGTATATGCTATGACTATTGGACTAAATTGTCAAGGTTTTATCCATATAGATAAATGCACTTCTGGTCTTGATAGCATATACAAGTGTTTTTAGCTAAGGCGTTAGCCGCCAGCTATTGGTATTACTTTAGCTAATGAGCTCAGATATTCATAAATGTCGATTTCACACAGACGGCCTCTAGCGGTAGTCACTGGTACTAAATTGAATCATATACCGGACCTACTGTCTTTATTATGCGTAACTTTGGACTCAAATGCACTTGAATGGCTTGTAAATATCATTACTC